ACAAGACACTGGGGGGTGGGGGAAGCCGGGGGAATGTCAAGGGGGAGAAAAAAGGAGACATGTGTAATACTCTTTGTAATACTTTAAGATAGATAGATAGATAGATAGATAGATAGATAGATAAAATAAAATAAAATAAATGACTATTTAGAAAACAATTTTAGGTCTTTTTTCCATGCCATGGAATCAGTTACATTTAAATATTTTAATTTAATATGGAAAACCATGTAAGTATTAAAAGAGAATATAAGTGCATATTTCTATAATCTGGTATGAGGAAATCAAAGATAGAAACCAGGTTCACAGTTCTATTACACATCATCTATACGCTGTATTGTATGTTTACCACCCCAAGTCAAGTCTCCATCCATCACCATTTATTGCCCCTATATCCTCCACCTCCCTCCACTCCTTTCTCTCCACCACCCCCTGACAATCACCACACTGTGTCCGTGTCGATGAGTTTTCGCTCTTTTTTTTTCTTCTTTTTTGCTTAACCCTGTCATCTGACCCACCTGGCCCCCACTCCCCATCCCCCAATCCCCACAGCTGTCAACCTGCTCTCTATCTATGAATCTGTCACTATTTTGCTTGTTAGTTCATTTTGTTCATTGGATTTCACATATGAGTGAAATCATATGTTACTTCTCTGTGGCTTATTTCACTTAGCACAATGCTCTCCAGGTCCATCCATGCTGTCTCAAAGGGTAAGATTTCCTTTTTCACTGCTGAGTAGTATTCCATTGCGTAAATGTACCACAGCTTTTTTATCCACTAGTCTACTGATGGACACTTGGCTGCTTCCAGATCTTGGCTATTGTAAATAATGCTTCAATGAACATAGGAATGTGTATATTCTTTCAAATTAGTGTTTCGGATTTCTTCGGATAAATTCCCAGAAGTGGAATATCTGGGTCATAAGGCAGTTTCATTTTTTATTCTTAAAAATATATATTTTTATTGATTTCAGGGAGGAAGGGAGAGAGAGAAAAACATCAAGATGAGAGAGAATCATTGATCGGCTGCCTCCTGCACACCCCACACTAGGGATCAAGCCCACAACCCAGGCATGTGCCCTGACTGGCAATTGAATCATGACCTCCTGGTTCATAGATCAACGCTCAACTGCTGAGCCATGCTAGCCAGGCCCACTGCTTTCCACAATGGCTGCAGCAATCTGCATTCACACCAACAGTGCAGGAGGGTTCCCTTTGCTCCACATCCTCAGCAACACTTGTTTGTTGATTTATTGATGATAGCCATTCTGACAGGTGTGAGGTGATATCTCATTGTGGTTTTAATTTGCATTTCTCTGATGATTAGTGACTTGAACATCTTTTCATGTGGTTTTTGGTCATCTGTATGTCCTCTTTGGAGAAGTGTATATTCACATCTTTTGCCCATTTTTTAATTAGATTGGTGTTGTTGGTTTTTTGGGTTTTTTGGTGTTGAGTTTTTTAAGTTCTTTATAAAATTAGGATATTAACCCCTTATCAGATGTATCATTGGTGAGTATGTTATTCTATTCAGTGGATTATCTTTTCATTTTATTGATGGTTTTCCTTTGCTGTGCAAAAACTGTTTAGTTTCATGTAGTTCCATTTGTTTATTTTTTTGTTTGTTTCCTTTGCCCGAGAAAGGTATATCAGAAAAATATTACTAAGAGAAATGTCAGAGACTTTACTGCCTGTTTTCTTCTAGGATTTTTATGGTTTTTATGTCTAACACATAAGTCTTTTTTTTTTTTAATTGTGGTCTTTTAAAATTTTTTATTGATTTTAGAGAGGAAGGGAGAGGGAAAGAGAGATAGAAACATCAATGATGAGAGAGAATCATCTATCAGCTGCCTCCTGCACGCCCCCTACTGGGGATCAAGCCTGCAACCTGACCATGTGCCCTGACCAGGAATGGAACCATGACCTCCTGGTTCAGAGGTCGACGCTCAACCACTGAGCACACTGGCCAGGCTAACATTTAATCCATTTTGAGTTTATTCTTGTGTATGCTGTAAGAAGGTGGTCTAGTTTTCTTTTTCTTTTTTTTTTTTTTTTGCATGTATCTGCCCAATATTTCCAACACTGTTTATTGAAGAGACTGTATCTTTACCCCACTATATGTTTTTTGCCTCCTTTTCATCAAACATTAATTGACTACAAAGGCCTGGGTTTACTTCTGGGCTCTCTATTCTGTTCCATTGATCTATATGTCTGTTTTTATGTCAGTACCATGCTGTTTTGATTACTATGGCTTAAAGCAGTGGTTCTCAACCTTCTGGCCCTTTAAATACAGTTCCTCATGTTGTGACCAAACCATAAAATTATTTTCGTTGCTGCTTCATAACTGTAATGTTGCTACTGTTATGAATCGTAATGTAAATATTTGATATGCAGGATGGTCTTAGGCGACCCCTGTGAAAGGGTCGTTCGACCGCCAAAGGGGTTGAGACCCACAGATTGAGAACCACTGGCTTAAAGTATAGTTTGATATCAGGTAGTGTGAGTCCTCCAACTTTGTTCTTCTTTTTCAAGATCACTGTTGCTATTCATGGTCTTCCATGATTTCATATAAATTTTTGGAATATTTGTTCTAGTTCAATGAAATATACCATTGGTATCGTAATAGGAATTGCATTGAATCTATAGATTGCTTTGGGTAGTATGGACATTTTAATGATGTTAATTCTTCCACTTTGTATCTTCTTCAATTTCTTTTTATAGTGTCTTATAATTTTGTGAACACGGGTCTTTTACATCCTTGGTTAAATTTATTCCTCAGTATTTTATTCTTTTTGAAGCAGTTGTGAATGGGATTGTTTTCTGGTAGTTCATTATTGGTGTATAAAATTGTTTTTTTAATAGAGTTAGAAATATTTATCTCATTTAAGAAAAATAACAGCATAAGCACAACAATAAGTGATCACCAATATTTGGTTAGGGAGTAATAGGGGGTAGTGGAAATTGTGACAAATGAGAGCATACTGATCTCATCCCAGGCATGCCCCTCCTCCCCTCCCAATTGTGCAACAACATGGCAGTTTAGAGGCCCCAAAGCCACTCAGTTCCAAGCAATTGTTGCCATGCAAGAATGCAGCCTCAGAATTATCAGATCATCTGAGCTTTTCTCATGTAAAGCTCCCAAATTTAAACTGTTCTCAGTTGTTAAAACTTTGTATAGGTGCCGGGCCAGTGTGGCTCCGTGGTTGAGCATCCAGCCATGAACCAAGAGTTCACTGGTTCAGCCCTAACCAGTTTGGTTCAGTGGATAGAGTGTCAGCCCGCAGACTGAAGGGTCCCGGGTTCAATTCAGGTAAAGGGCACATACCTCAGTTGCAGGCTCAATCCCCAGCCCTGGTCCAATGCAGGCTCAATCCCTAGCCCTGGTTGGTCCGATGTTTCTCTCTCTGCCTCCCTTCTTCCCTCCCTTTCACTCTCTAAAAATTAATGGAAAAATATCCTCAGGTGAAGATTAACAAAAAAATAAAGTAAAAGAGTTCACCGTTTCAATCCCCAGTCAGGCACATGCCCAGGCTCTATCCCCAGTAGAAGCTAGCTGATCGATGTCTCTCATGGATGTTTCTATCTCTCTCTCCCTTCCTCTCTCTCTAAAAATCAATAAAATGTGTTTCCTTTTTTTTTTAATTGTTTAAAGTATTTTCCCCCAATTGACCTCCCTCCTTCCCCCGAAAAACATATTTTTTTAAAAAAAAATGTGTAGGCAAAACAAAGCATATTCATAAGGCCTCAAAGTTAATGAACTCTGGCTGTATAGTTTTGCTTTTGGTTTCAGGATTATGCTTACCACTTTAAATGAGTTGAGACACTTTTCCTTCCTCCTCCTCCCCACACCTCCCTCTCTAGATCTGTAATTCTCTGGATAACAGAGGAATTATCTATAGAAGTTTAGTTTGACTTCCACATCCATTGCCCTCAGGGTCAGGGACCTTTTTGTGAAGACAGAGTTTTATATTTCCGGATTTTTTCTTGAGCCAGTTTTGGTAACTTTATCATGGGTATGTATGTATCCAAAAACCCATAGTTTATATAAATATATAGGGTTTGGTACTCTTCAGGAATCCACTGAGGGTCTTGGAATGAATAGTATTCCCCAAGGATAAAGAGGTACTACTGTGCATGTACAAAGATGATGCTGTCTTGGTTCTTAGTCTTTATAACCTAATTTTTAAAATTCTTTTTCCCCCCACAGTTCATCCATGAGCTCGGATTTCCCACATTACAACTTCAGGATGCCTAATATTGGATTCCAGAATCTGCCTCTCAACATATATATTGTGGTTTTTGGCACTGCTATATTTGTCTTCATCCTTAGTTTACTCTTCTGTTGCTACTTGATTAGGTAATCAATTTTCATTCTGTGTTACTTTAGAATATGTTAAACAATCACTAATAAATTAACTTTCTCCCCTTAGGTTAACAAATGTTATAAGTATTGTAGGGGAGGAAGAAAATTTCCTCTTCTAGGCTCTTTCAGCTGGTCTAATAATCAAACTGACACAAGATAGATTAATAAGAGAAAAATAACCAAATTTAATTACATACGTACATATGGAAACCCCACATACATGGGAGAGTCAGAGACTCCACATACATGAGAAGATTCAGAGACAGAAAGTTAAAATGAGGTATATGTGGCCTTCTGAGCTAAGGATGAGATAAAATGCCTTGGGGCTTCAGAGGGGAGGAAGGTCATTTGAAGGAAAATAAGATGAGCAGATGTTCAGTAATTACATGTTTGTCCTGCCCTGTAGGTCATAAAATGTTATTTATGGTAATAACTGTTATTATAGACAAAGCACCTAAGTTAGATTCTTTAAGAAAGAGATAAAGATTTCTCTTGACCCACAGAGCCTCAGTTGCCTTCAGCTCAAAATAATCTACAAGTCAAAGTAGCACATCTTAGGGAGGCCTGTTCTGAACCACTTCAAAATGATAATTAGCACATTTTTATTTCTTTCTTTCTTTTTTTTTATTTTTCTTTTAATTAGCAAATTTTTAAAACTTAAAGTGGCTTAACACTTTAACATTCTGTGAGCTACTGGTCAATAAAACACCTTTATACAGTCTTCAATCCTATTTGCTGATAGGATGTTTTATTGTAGGAGAAAATTGTTCTCATTTGTTTTTCCAACATATTAGCATCTGAACTGGATACACTTCTGTCATTGTCTGTCTCCAAGATTTAATCTACTTTCACAAAGATTTCAAGATTGCTTTTCTGGAGAGTGCTACATCATTGTTAGCTAAAGTCGTTAAGGATTAGAAAGCAATCTCCAAATAAGATCCAAGCCTTTAAACAAATTCTTGTGGTCTCTCAAGAGTATTTTAAGCCCTGGCTGGTTTGGCTCAGTGGATAGAGTGTCGGCCTGCAGACTGAAGGGTCCCAGGTTCGATTCTGGTCAAGGGCATATACCTTGGTTGCAGGCACATCCCCAGTAGGGGGTGTGCAGGAGGCAGCTGATCGATGTTTCTAACTCTCTATTCCTCTCCCTTCCTCTCTGTAAAAAATAAATAAAATATATTTTTTTAAAAATTAAAAAAAAAGAGTATTTTAAGCTCCTGTTTGTGTTGAACTGATCAGGTGTTCAGGTGATTGATTATCTGCATAAATCACAAAGTATTCCACAAGCTCTGCAGCACATGTACTGACAAGTAATGAAGGGTAACAGGTCACTTAAAGGAGTAATGGATTTGGCCAGTAAAGATTCACAGTTGACTAATTCATAATTGTTTAAGCAAGCATTTTTCTCTTTTTAAGTATTTAAAATAGGGCCTAATTTTCAAAGCCAAACCTCAGACTATAAAAAATTTTATAGTGTATTGTTCAAAGAGCTTTATGAAATAAAATAATAGAAAATTAAATGTTATTATACAGCTATACTAGTACATCTGATAGTTTTTAGTGTTTGTACAGTATATTATTATGGTTAAGATAAATACGATCATCAGATTATTTTTCAGCAATAGTTCATTATTGCCCCCAGTGTTCCAGGGTACTTATTTACTGACAGTCAAATCTGAGTGAATTTAGTGTGTAGTTTCTAATTTTCTGACAAGTGAATTTATATTCTTCACAGAAGGTGAATCTCCTCTGAAGTTCTCACAAAATGTAATCACTCCTTGTATCTTATAGATATGCTGGCTGCCTATGATTTTTTGGTCTTGCTTAGAGAAATAAATACTTAGCTAATATAATTATAGGATTTAGGAAACACTTTAAAAAATCTGTTTATTACTAGAAATTTACTTTTCCTAACATTTCTTTAATAATTGTTTGATAAATGTTATGTAAATATTCAGCTTTTTTTTTTTTAATATATTTTATTGATTTTTTACAGAGAGGAAGGGAGAGGGATAGAGAGTTAGAAACATCGATGAGAGAGAAACATCGACCAGCTGCCTCCTGCACACCTCCCACTGGGGATGTGCCCGCAACCAAGGTACATGCCCTTGACCGGAATCGAACCTGGGACCCTTCAGTCTGCAGGCTGACGCTCTATCCACTGAGCCAAACCGGTTTCGGCAATATTCAGCTTTTTTAAAAAATTAGGGAATTAGCCATAATTAAACAGGACCTCATAGCATTAAAATATTCCTTTTTTCCAAACCTAGTAAATTTTTTTGGAAATTTCTCTACAAATACTGGCTTAATTCAAATTTGTGAATTTGATATTTGAAACCGAATTATTTCTTAAAAGAAGATAAAAATATTTTAAAAGATTAAGGAAGAGCTTATATAAAATATTCTAAAATGTAGATAGCTCATAGTACAGTTTTTATTATTATGTCAAAGAATTAATTAAGCCTTAGATTTTTGTTTGCTTTAGGAAAAATACTAATATACCAATTGTGATTCTGGGTAAATTTTTTGAGAAATAAGTTATGAAACACTATTTTACCTCGTATTTCTTTCAGTAATCAAGCAAGCAAAGGGATAAAGAAAAAAAATCATAGCAGTTTTTATGCTATGATTTCATACTATGATCGCCCTGCAGAGGGAGGCAACTGGTGGCAGCTGGGGGTGGGGCTGGCAAGTGGGCAGTGCCAGGCTGGCCAAGGCAGGTGCCAGTGGGGGGGCCCCCCCGATCACCCCGCCGGTCGCCCCACAGATAGGCCCTGATCGCCAGCCAGGCCTAGGGACCCTACCCATGCACAAATTTTGTGCACTGAGCCTCTAGTTTTTAAATATAACAAGTTCTTCAGCACCTTCCTAGGGAGCTCTTCTGTTCTCATGCAGAGAGATCCCTCCAGTCATAGCTAGACTCATCAGAACCATTGGAGGAACACAGCTTAGATCTAAACTAGACACCCTCTACCAACCACAGTCTTACACAACATTTTAGTATAGAATCTGTTGCCCATGACAGGGCTATGAATAGATCACTACTGGAACACAAAAGGACTCTTACCTTGCTAGGAGTTATCCTATTTTATAATGAATCATATAATATTCTAATTTATGTTTGTTATTTATCTCTCTCCCTGGATAGAGTCTTGTCTGTTCTGTTTGCTGTATCCCAAACACCCAAAACTGAACAATATCTGGCACAGTATTGGTACTCAATAAATGTTTGTTGAGTAAATGAAAGTATGGTGTTCCTACTAGGAAGTCATTAGTTACACACTGAAAAACAAGGGTAAAATTAAAAACTAAAAATGGAAGGAAAATATTGAGTTACCTAATAGATACTAGAAAGTCTTGAACCAAGACAATGACAGTAGAGCTAAAGAGTGTGGGTGTGTTATGGATGGTTGTGAAAAATACTGGGGAGGTAAAAATGAACAAAATTTGGTGACTGGGCATTAAGGACAAGAAAATTATGAGCTTAGAATTTTTCCTGGACTTTTAGCTTAGCTGTTGGTTGGATAGCAATCCCTTCACAGAGATAGAAAATGGATGGCCAAATTGGGTGAAAGGAGTTTCTGTTTCACACATGGGAGAACTGTATTCCCTGTGTAACAGTCAAGATGTTTAGTATATAGTTGGATATATAGGTCTAAAGCTTATGAGAAGTCTGGTCTAAAAATAGAGGGTCATGTAATAATAGGTGGAAGTTGAAGCCAAGAATGTCCCCTAGAGATAATGTGTATAGTGAAATAAAATGGATGCAGGACAAAATCCTAGGGAAACATTAATATTTAAGAAGAGCCCTTGACCTGGCTGGGTAGCTCAGTAGGTTGGAACATCATCCCAATACGCCAAGGTTGTGGGTTTGATCCCCACATACAAGAAGCAACCAATGAATGTATAAATATGTGGAACAACAAATCAATGTGTTTTTTTTCTCTCAAGTCAATTTTTTAAAAAAGAAGAAGAGCCCATAAAAGAGACTAGGAAGGGATAGCAGGAGAAAGAAAAAAATCATGAGAGAGGTGCTCCACAAGTAGGGTTTCAGTGGATTGAGTCAGTTGTGTCAGCTGCTCCCAGGAAGGTCTAATAAACAAGATATTTGTTAATCGATTGTTTACATTATCAGTAAGGCTTCTGGTCAACAGTAGGTTATTAGTAATTAAGTTTTTGGGGAGTCAAAAGTTTTATGTGGCTTTTCAATTGTGCAGGAAATCGGCATCCCTAACCCATGCATTGTTCAAGGGTCAGCTTTACATTTGACAATTAGGTTTGCATCCATAATCTTATAAAAGTTTCAGTAGCATGGGTACAGGGGTGACAAAAGGTAAGCTATAATGGGGCAAAGCTTCAGCAGCAGGTAATAAATATAACATCTTTGAAGAATCTTGGCTGAGAAAAGATGGGGGGCGGGGAGTTTGCTCTAGAAATCAAGGAAGTATTTTGGTGCCTGATTATGTTTTTAAGCTAGAGATTTATAATATAAACTAGAGGCCCAGTGCATGAAATTCGTGCATGGGTAGGGTCCCTAGGCTTGGCCAGCAATCAGGGCTGATCTGTGGGGAGACTGGCAGGGTGATCTGATTGGGGAGTCCCCTGCTGGCACCTGCCTTGGCTGCCCTGGGGCCTGCAGGCTGGGGGCAGTTCCTGCATTGAGCATCTGGCCCCCGAGGCCCCGCCCCCGCCAAACAGTTGTTCCACAGGTCGTTCCGCTGTTCGGTCAATTTGCATATTAGGGTTTTATATAGATAGATATTCTATTTATAGGTATTAAGGAGAATGAGCTAGTTACGGAAGATTTGTGAGAAATAATGAATCATGGAGATGAAAAGAGACATACCTAAAAGTTATAGCACTATTATTCGTAAGCAGGAGAATACCTTCTTAAGACAGGGATGAAGGTAACTTCAGAAAACAATACATATGTAGGAATGTGGGGCTGGGAGTGAAAGAACTGCATACATGGCAACCTCTTTCTTTATGAAGTAGTT